TTCTAATTTTTTTTTTTTTTTTTTTTTTTTTTTTTTTTGCTTAGCATGACTATGTTTGATTAATTCAGACAAATCTATTAAGTTGTTCTATTATTTCCTCTCCATGATGTAATTTTTATTTAAAATGTTTTGACTTATAAGCTCTTATATGTAACGTTAACCGAGAACACGCCAGAACTTAGTCCGAGGTTGTCCGTGAATGTAACTTCTTATAAGATGACTTTCATTGAGATTCTACAAAAATAATAAAAAAGAGAAAAAAAGTAGGAAGTGATTTCATTTGCTTCCGACGAGTTGTCGTTTGATGTTCAGGGTGGAGTGTCGGGAGAAAAAGACCATAGAATTGTTGACGTAACAAAGTGCATTGTGTGTGGTAGAGTAATAAGCGTTCACCTTTGAACTCATCACAAACTAAGGATGTCTGTCGTCGCTGTGATTGTATACATTTTATGACGGTGAAACTATCCAGTGCATAACAACAATTTTTTTGGTATGGTGGTGTGCATTTTAAACATACTGCAGTAAATAATCCACTTGTTAGTGTTTTGATTGAGAATTTCTGATGTGAAGTTTCTTTCAAGCACTTCCATAGCAGTCAAGATAAGAGAAAATATGCTTTTTAAAAAAAATTGTGATTGTTGCCTTATTCATCAACGCATACTTTTTTTTTTGCATTTAATTTCACTTTGCTTGTCGAAAGAAAAGACACAACTCTGGGAAATGATGTCTGATCGAGACTGAAAATGTCACTCAGTCTTCAGAAATGCTTTATGATGATGATGTCGTACTGCTATAAATGGTTACATTAATATTGATTTGTTCCATCAGCGGGTCTAACTTTAAACTTGTCCTCATTTTCTCATATAATAGTGGCGCTTATTTAACTGTATGATTATCCATTTCATGTGAATAGTGATTTCTAAAGTCTATAAAATTCTAATATTGTCAATAAACACTGTCCAAGTAAAGGCAATGTTTTGTTTTTTTACAATATTTATGCATTGGTATGCCTTAAAAAAACATTTGGACACTTTTTGAAGTCTATACGGCATGGGCTAAAAGTTGGCATCCTTTTTAAATGTACTTTTTTAAGAAAGCTGATGAAAGGAAGATTCTCTCACTCACTCACTCACTCACTCACTCACTCACTCACTCACTCACTCACTCACTCACACACACACACACACTTGCAACTGTAACACTGTCCTTGCAACCTTAATTTGAAACCTTAACCCTGGCTATAAACTCTACTTTGAAGGCGTAAAGCTGACTTGAAACCTAACTCCAGAAACCCCAACACAGGTCTTGAAGCCCTGCTTTTCCTTGTCCGACTTCTAGCTCTATGGAAACCCCATTTTGGATCCCTGAGCATTGCAACCCTTGCTTGAAACTGATAACGAGCAATGCTTACCCTTGCTTGAAACTGATAACTTCAAAAATTAATCCCAAAAGCTTTTATTGCAATTGATGCAGATGAGAATTTGTGTGGGGCTGTGTCCGAGGAAGGGCTTTTACGAGATTAAACTGTTTAATAAATGTAGCTGACATAATGAAGTGTAAATGTAATTACATTTTTTAAATATATACTCTATGGTCCACCCTGTATATTAGAATTAACTTTACACCCAGTGGGCATATTAGGCCTGTGCATATGATTCCTTTTAAAATTGCACATAATATTGATGTTATATATATATATATATATGTGTAATGGTGTACATATACAATGAATTTTCCAGCATAATGTCAACACATCCAGTAATGGTGAATATTAATAAAGACCATTCTCAAATTTGAACAGACCCTCGACGATGCAGTGTTACCATGGTAACAACATCCGGCTCATTCTTCTGAAAACACGTACCCACCCCCCACCCCCCCGCCGCTCGTGATTGGTCAGTCACTGCTCGTATGTCACCACGGCAACCGAATGATGGGATTTATTTATTTATTTAAATACATGAACGGAATCGAGAATTGTCCAATCTCATTGGCGGTCAGATTTCCGCTCCCATTCAAGGTCCGCAGGCAGCATTACGTGCCATTGGTCCGCTGCGCATGCCAATCAAATGGCGGAACAAGAGGTTGATGGGCTTTTTGTTACGGAAGCCGGGAGGAGACTAGAAGGTCGGGGGTGCTATACGCAGCGGTCGTGTTTCTTCGGCCGACGCTATGGCGGCTGGCATCACACTGGAGAGCAACCTGGAGACCAAAGCACACCTGAGATGTTGGGGAAGGCATTAATGAAACCGTAATTCCTCGTTGATAATTTGAGGTAGCGTTTGCGTATTTCCGGGTTCGCTTGTAAACGCGCGCGTGCGCTCATTAGTTCTTTTTTTTTTAGGGGCGGGGGGCAGGTCCAGGCATATTTACCCCCCTCAGCGTTCTCAATGGAGCAAGTTTGTTTTTTGTGTCAAACGCTCGTGAAAAGCAAGACCGTTTTTGTCCTGTCACCCTCCACGTTACGGCTGGTGGGGTAGCTGTCGGCGCGTGGCCCTGCGTTGTTTGGAGGTGGGAGGGAGGGAGGGAGGAATTTCCACAATGAAGCCCGTGCCGGAGCACCGGGTCTTTGTGCTTTGAGTCGGACAGACCGTGTTATTATTGTCAACAACCGACCCCAAAATGGTGACTGTTGAGATGTTGAGCTCCTTTTCGACTTGAGTTAAACGATGCGCGAATACAAAGTGGTGGTCTTGGGCAGCGGCGGGGTCGGAAAGTCCGCCCTCACGGTCCAATTCGTCACCGGGACGTTCATTGAGAAGTACGACCCAACGATAGAGGACTTCTACCGCAAGGAGATCGAAGTGGACTCCTCGCCATCGGTCCTAGAGATCCTGGACACCGCCGGGACCGAACAGTTCGCCTCCATGCGAGACCTGTACATCAAGAACGGACAGGGCTTCATCCTGGTCTATAGCCTGGTCAACCAGCAGAGCTTCCAGGACATCAAGCCCATGAGAGACCAAATCATAAGAGTCAAAAGGTGGGTGAAATGTTGTCAAAGTGGAAAATGCACAATGCATGTAGTTGTCACATTAGGCCATCATGGTGCAGGGGTGGGCCTACAGACACATGGCTCATCTATTTTGGTGTACACCTAACACTTACTATCAATAGCAGAAATTGGAAATCATGAACACTCCCCACCCTAAAAACCGTTGATAATTGACTATTGTAGTTTAAACCATAATTATACTATGTTTGCAAAACACGCTAGCATTTCAAACTCGTCTTTCCACATTAAATTGCATATGTGCCTTTTGATTTGATTTGAATTTGTGCAAGGAAGCTGGTGTGTTTGTCACCACTTTGCATTACTGATTTTCTAGTAGCTGTTTTGTCAAATTTCTAAGTTGGTGATATAAAGATCCTCCCATTTTTAAATACCTAAAACGTTTAATTCATAACTCAATTAGTCATAACGTCAACCCCGGCATATTCTTTCTAGATTTTAACAAATTTGTGCTGAAACCTATTCTGTTAGTCGCTCAAAAACTCCTACTTGCTGCTTTTGGGCGCCATCTTGTGTCATCTTGGTACCTTGCGCTATGTTAAAATTAGTTGAGGCACTTCATTTAGACACTAGTGGTGTTTTGTCATCATCTTGTGGCATCCTAGTGCCAATTAACTTTCTTGAAGTGAGTCGGGAGCATCACTCAGACAAATGTCATGCTTTAACCATCATCTTGTGGCATTCTAGCGCCAAGAAACTATCTTGAAGTGAGGTGAGGATCTTCACTTTGACAAAAGTAGTGCTTTGCCACCATGTATCAAAAATTCCATATCCATTTCCAACACTACTTATCCTGAAGAGGGTCACGGGAATTGCTGGAGCCTATCCCAGCTGACTTCAGGTGAAAGGCGGAATACCCCCTGAACTGGTCGTCAGTCAGTCACAGGGCACACATACAGACAAACAACCATACACACCCACATTCACACCGTCACTGAGTGGAAACCGATCCCACGCTGCCCACACACAAGTCAGGCAAGTGTACCACAACACCATCCATCAGCAACTCTGTCAGAAATTATATTTTTTTCAAGATTGGTAAATTACAATTATATTATAATTTCTCTGTTGCAATCAATGCCCACCACTAACCTTAGAAGTATGAATCATTTGCACCAAATTGAGCGAGGCATTTCCCACTTGTGACCAACTCTTTGCAACTGATTACAATTTTTTTTTTTTTGCCTTACAGCTACAGGTGTTTTTTGTTGATGTATTTATTTATTTATTTGCTACAACTACATTATTTTCGACAACTTTTTTTTTTTTTTTTGCTTTTGTTTTTGTTTTTTGCACTGATCATATTTTTTAAGGTGCAACTCACGACATTCCGGCGGCCCAGTGGTCGACTAGTTAAGTGCGTCAGCCTCACAGTGCAGAGACGGAGGGTTCAATCCCGGCTCTGGCCTTACTGTGTGTAGCTTGCATGTTCTCTCCGTGCCTGCGTGGGTTTTCTCCGGATACTCCGGTTTCCTTCCACACTCCAAAAACATGCGTAGCAGTTTGATTGTGCACTCCAAATTGTCCCTAGGTGTGATTGCGAACGTGAATGGTTGGTCGTCTATGTGTGTGCCCTGTGATTGGCTGGCAACCTGTTCAGGGTGTCCCCAGCCTACTGCCCAAAGACTGCTAGGATAGGCTCCAGCACACCCCGCGACCCTTGTGAGGATAAGTGGATCCGAAAATGGATGGATGGATTGATAAAGAAATAGTGATACAGCTTGTTTCTAAAATCTGGACTAAGTTTTGTCCCTTTTTAAAACCAAGACCCAAATATGAAATGCTGTCCTCCCCTGGAGCCACACTTACTAAAATCTATCATGTGTTGCCCTAACGTTGATTTTTACTGTCCATAATCTAATGATACACAACACAAGAGACGTGGATTTACGACAAGAAGTTGTTTGAGTGCTTGATGAGTAATAAAGTAGCTTCCAGTGCAGTGTTTTACTCTTGACAGTCAGCAACCATATAAAAATTGATTGATACACATTAATGTACCCCATAGGGCTAATTATAGGGGGTGCCTTGGTTTACGACGCTACTGACTCAAGTGTTTTTCCATCTACAGTATATATTTACTGCCATTGTGACTTTACTACACTGTTAGCGTAGGTTTGTAGTAGAAGGAACACCAAGACATCAAGGTTTGCTTTTTTTTTTTAACTCTGACAATCGTCAACACTATAAAATAGATTGATCTACGTTAATGTACCCTGGGGGGCTTATTATAATCCTCCAAGTTACTGTACCTTTTCCAATTTTCATTTTCCTCGTGATCAATCTAGAACATTTAGCCAAATAGCCATCCCTAATTTGTAGTTTACTGCTTCACATAACTGACTTTTCCTCATTTCTTATCTCGTCTCCCACACCACTTTCAACTTCTCGATAGTAAATACCCGATTTCTGCAGTCCTCCGGCACTAATTCTTTGTGTTGAATCATAATAACATATTTGCTTGTACCGGTACTTTGGAAAACAATGATCAACATTTTTGCCTATTTTCTGACATGTTCAAATCAGTAACTCAAATTTATGTTTTTGCAATTTCTCCAATGTCAATGTTTTTTTTTTTTTAAACAAATTGCAGTCGTTGCGATTTGCAAATTGCCTTCTACTACATTGCGATGCTGATTTGAATTTAATTAGTTGTTCAGACCTAATCTGGTTTAATCTATAGACATTACAATTCTCGTGTGTTTGAAAGATATAAACTTATTTAAAACAAAGCAAATACCACTCACTCCGTTCTTTCATGGTTCAATTTGAACTTCTACTTTTTATGCATCTTCTAATCACTCGCACAACTGTGAATGAAGTAATGAGGTCATCGCGTTTCCCACCGCTTGTGTTGATTCCTATTTCCTGCATGTTTATATGCTAATGTATACATGCACACTCGCGCTCCAGCTGCAGCCCGGCTGTCGCGCGATTTCACCCCACGCGCCAGCATCTGGTGTTGTTGTCTGAAGTCACAACACCAATTTATTTTCGCATTTCACACGCAGCTCCTACACACGCTGCACTCTGATATTTGATGTGCATTTAAGAAGCCTCAAGACGGCGGACAAAGATCAGTTTAAATGGAACCTATCATGGGAAATTTGCTTCGTTGCTGGGTGCACAGTGGCCGAGTGATTAGCACATTACCTCACCGTTCTGAGGTTTGGGATTCGAATCGTGACTCCGGCATTCATGTGTGGGGTTTGCATTTCCTCCCTGTGTTTTTGTGGATTTTCTACGGCTACTCCAGATTCCACCCTTTTTTCAAAAACATTTGTACTTCATTGAAGATTCAAAATTGTCGAGTGGTGTGTGTATGTAAATGGTTGTTTGTCTATATGTGCCCTGTGATTGGCTGGCAACCAATCAAGGTTCACCCCGCCTCTTGCTCAAAGTCAGATAGAGAGGCCTGTATGGAATTTTGTTGAATTTTGACGGTGCAGCTAATTTACACCCTGCATCAATTTATCCACCCGTAATTTGGCAGCTAGGCGAGGAGAAGCTCCATCATTTTCAAATGACTTCATGAAAGCACAACTGAGTGTCGTCAGTTTACAACAGATTTATGTGACGTCGTTTTTCACTAACCTTAGATAATATTGTAGTAAAATCATGACGACAGTAAATATTTATATGAAAAACCTTTTTATACCATGTTGACATTGCGACTTGTCTGCTGACAAACACCGGCGACCCGTCACGGCTACATGAGCTCAGGTCAGGGGCGTCGATCTGTCAACGTCCGTCAGCGGCAGGTCTCTCGGAAGGCTACAGGCGCACATGATTACACCGTGGGCCGGTGCGAGCACGCCGCGGATCCAATCGCTCCTCATGGCTGGGACAAGCAGTGACTGGTGGCTTTGCCGGGCCTGTAAATAAAAGCGTCATGGTCAGAGTGTGACGAGGAAGCAGCGTGACACAAAGCGATCAACCTTGATGTTTGCACAGCAATTGAACTGTAGGGTGTTTTAAATAGGATTGAAACCCTTCATACCCTCCACTTATCGACCCATTGATTATCGAAGGGAAAGAAGATTTGGGTCGAGACACACAATCGCTCTTATCACCTCCTCCCCCTCCTCAAATTGAGCTCAACTCGCAAACTCCACATAGGAAAGCCCGGGCATTTATTTGAACCTCCAGCCTCAGAAATGTTAGACAGACTTGCTAACCACTAGGTCACCAAGCTGCTGTGCTGGCTAAAATGTAAACGTTGCCAGTTACTTTCCAATAGCATCTATATGTGGTTTATTGAAAAATGTGAAAGCTTATCCAACCTGTGGTTGCGCTGGACTGTGTGGTCATGGTTCCGTAGGTCCTGGTGACATTAATTCTCGCGGAGAGCTAGCAGATCATTCTTTGGATCACGCAAAGATGACTTTGCCGTTTTAGCGTCAGGGAAAATTCTCATTGGTTCACCCTCATGTCTTTGTTGGGCCAAATCCCCGTCATCTGTTTGTAGCATCAGACATGGAAGGAAGTGGGAAGGGCCATTTTTTTAAAAAGCCATGGGAGAATCCCACTCTTCAAATACCACCCTTGATCTTGTCTTGGGTTGTTTACAAAAGACATAGCTCTGATCTCCACTGGATTATATCTTGGATATGCCAAAAGAGAGGCACTTGGAAATCTCTGACTCAGAACCTCCTTAAAATAGCTATTGTCAAGAAGAAGAAGCCCAGAACTCCGCCTGGTCCTGTAGGTCCAAGCCTCCCCTCCAAAAATCGGGTCCTGTCGGCGGCTTGCAGTATCTGTCAGCAAGAATGACGCGATTGGATGCATCATGCATTATGGATGAGATGCGTCTGGGAATGGGGCAGTCACATTAAACCCTTGTGGCCGCCCGGAAGCTCACTAGCCCCAAGGCTAAAGCGTGACTTGTCGTTTACCGTGCTGGAGTCTTTACATGAACACAACCAGTGTTTGGCATTTCATGATATTTTCATGCCATATCTCTATTTCATTTGCCGTAATAAAGATGTCTAAACAACTACATGTAGTATCTGGTATCAGTGCCTGCATAGTCCAGACACATGATGGTCGAGTCCTTCCCACAAACCCCCCCACCCCCAACCCCTCCAACCCAACGCCCTTGTAAGCTTTGGTATCTTTGGCAGCCACAGTCTCACACCTCCCGGGAGCACAAGTTTCCTCCTCTGTTATTATGACTATATATAGCCCCCCACTCCTGTACGCCACGTGTCTTTGTGCAACAACGAGGCCCCAGTGAGCCACACAAGTTGAAGAAGCGCCTCTATTAGATAGAACAGAGAAGCAAGCGGTTTGAAATCAGGTGATGGATATTCATTTTGCTTTATGTGACTTAGCTGGCACTTTTAACAGCTTTTGAAGGATTTTAAGAGTTGAACCAAAAGCATAACAGGGTGTACCTTTATGGCACTCAAACCTTGATTGAAGGAGAAGCTCTTGCAACTTCTTAGCTTTTAAGGAAAGTTTCTGGTGAGGGAAAACAAGTTGCAGGTAACAGGTGATAAACTGACCGATGTTTTCAGGAAGTATGTCTAGAAAGTTGAAGAGGGAGGTGGAACCATTTGTGTTCCAACCAGAAAGGACTCGGGCAGTGTCTTAAGGCCTGCTGCAACATTGCACAACAGCGTTGGACCTGAGCGGAATAAACCATCGCGAAAGAATGACAGTTAGCGATTCACACCCATTGATTGAACAACTGAACCCTACACGTCAACCGACATGCTGAAACAGAAATCTGCGACCCTGCATCGGATATTTTGAGGCGCCACGTACAATCTCTTGTACTGTTTTATAGTTATTAAACCTCAAATACATGGTTTGATTGCCAAGGAAGAAGCGAGTTGCCACAAAGAGAAGAATAAATGGAATTGTCACTCAGAAGTAGTTAAGGTTAATGTATTTGTCCAGCGTGAGTGTGTGCTTCAGTGTCACAACCAATGTTCCGTCTAAGCTGCGTACGTGAGCAATTGCGCATTGCTCGCACACACATTTCTAAACTCATTCTTTTATTTCGGCCCCAGTTTTATATACAAAGAGGACACCACACCATTCCCACCTGCTTCACAGTTTCAGTGGTGCGACCGAGAGTAATTCACCAGTGAATCGAAATCTCTTTCACTCAAGTGACAGAATTCTTAATGCTCATTTAATCACGTGATAGGCCCATCCTCAGTGTATTAAGTTTAGTGAAACCATTAGGAAGGATGAGCTGCCGGAAAAACTCGTGATTAACATCCATCCTGTAAGATCTTCTTACCCTCACAAGGAGTGATCAGGATAGTTCCGATTAAAGTCCACTTGGGATAATGTATTCATGAGGAGATGCAAATGAAATGGACTCTCTCCTCCGAGCAAGCTCATTCTCATCACAACCTGCAGTCTGTCGTAAATATGCAGTGAATATGACATGGAAACCGGTACCCGCTTCTGCCAGCGCTCTCGTGATCCACCTTGAGCGGCCATTCATACACAAGACCAGCGCCAAAAATGGTCATTTTTACAGGCAATATGGTTTTGTGTGCCTCCCCTCAGGTACGAAAAGGTCCCCGTGATCCTGGTGGGCAACAAGGTGGACCTGGAGAGCGAACGGGAGGTGTCGTCCAGCGAGGGCCAGGCGCTAGCTGAGGAGTGGGGCTGCCCCTTCATGGAGACGTCGGCCAAAAGCAAAACCATGGTGGACGAACTGTTCGCCGAGATTGTGCGGCAGATGGACTACGCCGCCCAGCCCGACAAGGACGACCCCTGCTGCTCGTCCTGTAATATACAATAGCCATCCAGGGGTGGGTTGGGGGGTGGGGGCGGGGCAGCAAGATTGGAGGCTATGGCGGCCCCACACAGACACACACTTGGCACGCTCACACACACGCATAAGTGCACACGGCAGTTAAAAGATTGAACACGATGGATCTTTAATATCAGCGGTGACATTATTCATGACGTGGCAGGATATTGAGTATTTAAAAAAAACAAACTGAAAAAAAAAACTTACCCTCGCCTTATGTTGCTCTCCACCTTTTAGTCTTCATCAGCAAAGAAATACACCGCGGGACCTTCATTTTTTTTAAAGATAACGTTCTTAAGATTAACTTTCGTGATGCATTTACTGTGACAGCAAAACGACACTAACTGATTTCTGGGATCGCTTTGCTTCAAATTGGAACAAAGGTTTGGATTTGTGTACATTTTGTGCAGTGCTTTCTGGGAGGGTTTTTTGTACTCATTGCTGGGCTGAACCAAAGAGGTGACCTGAAAGCATTTTATCAATTTTTTTTTTCCCAAAATTGTAAATGGAGGGAAAAATCGGCACAGACATAATTTTTTATTGTTGCTGTTGTTTTCCGCTTTAACAGTAAAGATAAAGAGCATCATCTTCCACTTTTTTTTTAATATATTTTCATAATCTAAAAATTAAGTCTGAATGAACATTGGATTGTCAGTATTTGAGTATCCTAACTTGGCGTAATTGATTAGTTGATCATTCAGAATTATTTGTAAAGCAGTCGAGGCAAAATGGAGTGCACTAGTTTGCTGCCATGAAAAGAGCAAGATGACCTACCATGCAGATCTCTTTTGGCTACGTTCTGAACATCCATCACTTTTTTTTTTTTTTTAACTCAGTTGTGGAAAGAAACGGAGGTTCAGAAGGTTTATTGGTGTTAGTTTTCATTAATTCATTGCGAAAGCAGGAGTTTAGAACATTCTGCGCCAGTTTCAGGTTATTGGCCATGGGAAATAAAAGTTCGGAACAATCGATGCTTCTTTTTTTCCATTTATTGGTTGTGAAAACAAGAGTTCAGAACATCGAGTGATTATTTCTGTCAATTTATTGATGATAGCGGAAGGAGCTTTGAACATTCAGTGTTATTTTGCCTCATCGAATGAGTGACGGAAATGGGAGTTCAGAACATTCAGCGCTGTTTTTTTTTTTTTGTTTGTTTGTTTTTTTGTTGTTTTTTTAATCATTTGGCTGTGAAAACAGCAGTTAAGAACAGTCAGGTATATAAAGATGAATTAATCGTGGAAGAAAAAGCTCGTGTCATTTTGTCTCACTGAATTGGGGTCCAGAACCTTCTGGGCTATTTTTTTAATGAGTTGATCTTGGAAAAACAGGAGTTCAGAACAGTCAGTACCAATTTTTTTCTGATTAATTGTTGTGGAAATTAGTTCATAACTTTATGTGATTTTCTTTTTTTTTCACCAATGAATCGCTCACGGAAACAGGAGTTCAGAACATTTGACCCAACTTTTTGAGGGGACAACTTCAACACAGCAAAGTCAACACAGCAACACTTGCAATCATGCCTTAGTTTTTCTTTCCTCGTCCACTGGTGACGTGCTCAGAGTATCCATCGTAAAGAGGATGATGCTCAGACTCATTTAAATGGTGATGTACATATTTTGTATGGGAAGTGCCAACAGAACACGTGTCATTACAAAGTGAAAGCATGGAAACATGGAAAAATTGCCGTTGTTTTTGAGAAGAATATAAGGACAAACAAATGCAGTTATGAAACCTGGACGCTGTCTCAGCTGTGCATTTTTTTTCCAATTTTAATCTAAACCAGGAAGCAGATTTTTTTGTTGATTTTGGATTCCCTCCTTGTGTAACCATGTTGATTTTACAATTTAGTTTTTTTTACGTGATTCTTGAACCCTCCTGATTATGTTGACATTTGTCACCTGCGTAATAAAAGTGTTCATCAATTGAATTGACAGCTTTTTGTGCAAGGGGATATGTGTGTGTGTGTGTGTGTGTGTGTGTGTGTGTGTGTGTGTGTGTGTGTACGCGCGCACGCACGTTTCAGGATGTTTGAGTTCTCATTAAAAAATTAAGCTGATTCTAAAGCATTCCTCTTTCTCAAGTTCCAGCAGCTTGTTATGAAGACTAAAGGTGTCTTTTAGTTACTTTGTTTTATTTATGGTCAAGCAGAGTAGGAGGCTCATTTAGGCTGCAGCAGGAAGGAAGTGATTTGTTGTTTTTTGGAAGATGACACAATGAGAGCAACACACATTCCCAGTGGACGTTTAAGCTGATTCTCAATGAGTTTTAGTCATTCCGCTAAAAAGAGAGAACATCAGGGCTTAAAAGGAACAAAAACAATCCAAGCGTAGCAAGAATGGACGCTTTTCTTTCCATTTTCCGGTGCATTTTGTTGATTTGAACTGCAGCCGGTTTAAGGAGACGCGCTCGGTTGCTTTTTATAGCTGCCGTCTTTACGTGCGGCTGTGAAAGTACAGAATAATAACTACTTTGCTGCATTCCAACTTTGACAATTATATCCCAGACGTAGCGTGGCCGGCCACGATGACTTTTAAACTACCACTTGTCTTTCCTTTAAGATTGGAGAGCAAAAGGAGGACACGTCCATCATGGCTGATTCGTCTTCTGTGTTTGGAATGGGCTTTGTTCTTCATGAGTATTGAATGTGTCTATAAATTTTCATACTGTATTATACATTGTAGTTGGTGGTCTATTTTATTGGAAATGGTTACAATGAACTACCCTTATAACTTACAGATTCATTATGTGCCTCGCGGTACGTTGTAACGAGGTTCGACTACTAAAACACTTTGACAGATTTTTGATGGCTGTGTACCACATAAAATCACTATTAATACGTAAGGTGCAATGGTTTATTATATATATTTTTTTTTTTTTTTAAATAAGATACTTTCCGATTTAGATAGGGATATGGCGTTTTCTATAGGATCAATTCGGGTTCTCTTTAAGGTCTGTACTGGTGAGTTAGAGCCTATCTGGTTGACTGTGTCAGAGGCGTGGTGAAACCAGGACTGGCCACCAGGTATTTGACAGGTTTTGAGTGGCCACCCCGCAGTGAAACGAATGAGCTCATCCACCTTAATTCATCTCATGGTGCTGTTCTTGAATGTGAGTCTGTAAACAAGGAATCTGCATTGCGTTCAGGTGCTTCATTTCGTCGAATGAGACCAGCCAGAGGGCTAACGGGCTTAGACTGAAGGTCTCGGTGGGCATCATTACAGTAAAGGCCCAGTCTGTTGCATCATTTGCGCTGATGTATTTTGTTATAAGTGCGGAGCTGCAGGGTGCTAATGAGAAAATAAATCATGCCGCAGTTGCTGTTTTCTTCAAAATATCCTTGTCGTGGAGGCAGAAGTGACTTTCAAGGGACTGAATGGGGAGAGAGCAAATTCCGTTTGAGCATGTCCCACTGGACCTTCACGGCGCAGGTGTGTAAATTGAAAAGCCGTCGACTCCTTGTTTCTTTCTCTGAGTTCCCCTGGCGTTCCATCTCTGAAAATGACACACTGCGCTTCCTCCAGATGGGATCCTGCACATCATTTCTTATCAAAATGACAAGGGAAGTGCGAGTGTGGCCTTAGTCACGACTGCACTGTGTGCCATTCTGCGGAGAAATAAGCTAAGATAAGATAAGAAAACATTTATTTGTCTCACAATGGAGAAATTCCCAATTAAATGATCATAATCTCTCAACTTTACACAGTGTTGCACCCATATAGTTTTTAATGTCATGATGGTCTTATTTTTCATTTTTTTCGTTACATGCCTAATTTGTTGTTCTGTTTTTTTTTTATTGTCTTTTACCATGTAAAGGACATACTCAATAGCCAAAATACAAATGTGGCCAATATCAACAACTAACAAACAAAAACAACAACAATGAACCTGTTGGCAGTTGTGCTCATAAGCTTACATGCCCTGGCCGAGTTTGTTAAATACTGGCAATTTTGTGGAAAATATGAATGTTGACTGAATTCGGATTTTATTTATTGCTAGGTTTTATTTAATGAATGTGCTGTTCTGAAATGCTTTATTGTTTATGTTGAATTTATGTGCTTTGCTTGCTCACTCACGTTTTCTTTTAAGAATGATACACGTTATATTTTATTCGAGCTATAACGATATCGGCAATATCACGATATCAAGAATTTTCGCGATATCGTCGAAACATATCTGTTATATAGGCCTGATTATTTTTCCCTTTGTACAGTTCCATCACCCTCTGGTGGTTAGTTTATTAGTGCAGTTTAATTGGAATTCTGCATGTTTTGGCCACCGACGTTAAGACTCATGCTGGAACGTAACACGTTTGAGTTCCTCCACAAATGGACTCGATTCACATCAGCGTTATCAGTTGAACCCCAAACTGTAAAAACCCCGCATTGTGATCTACAAAGACCATGATACTTTGCGCTTTTGAGCCAAAAGGAGCATTTGACAATAAGATGACTGGCCAATCCTCTTTCTTTGTCTCTCCTGTTATGTACAAAAACACAATACTGTATTGTGCTTTTTCTCAAAATATGTTTTTCTTTTTTATTCATTTTAAAATACCGTGAGTTTTTTTATACAGTTATATTAGCCATTTTTAATATTGCCTACTTCCCCACAACATCGTAATAAGTATCATATGGTGGGGTTCATGCCGTGACGTTCGGATATCGTTACACCCCTACAAATCATGCCAGGGTATGTAAACATTTGAGCACAATTCGTGTTTGTTTATTGACGAAAATATATAATGTCAATTTGAATTTCAGCCTTGTGTTTTCATTGAGTCTCAATATATTGAGAGGGAGATTCCAAACAAATGTTAATTAATAAAATAATGATACTATTATCTGATGTGATGAAATGTTAGTTTTGCAAATGAATTATAGACACATTACATATCGTTTGACATCGGCCCATCCTACAACCACATTCATCATCACTTCAGAGTAGGCTACCACGGGGTCTGTGGTTTACATTTCGACGTACAAACGATCATACGTCGTCGCTTTGTTTGTCATTTGAATATGGTGAAAATTTATAAATTACTGTATCCCCAACAAGTGTTTTCCATCCAAATATTTACTGTAAGTGTGGCTTTGCCACTGCGTTTGCCTATGTTAGCGATAGAGTGCGACGCGTGACGGTAAATATATACGTACAGGTTCGCGTTACGTCGTCGCTACAGGGACGATGCTGCGTCGCAAAGCGAGGATGCGCTGTGTAGCGTACTCTCTGCGCATGCGCAAAGGAGCCAACTTCTCGCCTGCTGACCCAGCTCAGCTGACGCCAAGCAAGCAATAGCGGCGCATCTGCAACTGTTGTCGGCGGAAGATGATGGCAGACTCTGGAAGTCCCGAAGAACAAGTGGCAGTGATCGGCAACACCGACATCACGCCAACGGAGTCAGAGAACAACATAATCAACACGGTAGTACAATCATATGCGTTAACGTGATGTTGAATTCTATGTAGTCGTTAGCCTATTTAGCTAACGGGGGGTGTGGAGTTCATTCGAACGCCGTTCCTGACATTTTTGAGTAGCGGTAACGCTTATAGAGTTTTGCCAGACGTTTAACAACTATGGCAGATTTTTGCAATGTTAAAATTATCACGAATGTGTTACTTTCGACCAGTTGCTTTTACAACAAACTTCACTCGTGTTGCTAGGTTGCTAACTAGCTTCTGCATTCGTAGTTGGTGTTCAATGGAGTTCGTCCTCCTGGCTTCAGTGTTTTTTAGTCTCGCCTCCCATGTATTTATTTATTTTCACAGTTTTTGAATGGCGGAGATAAAGGACTAACAGAGGAAGCCCTCGGGGCTCTTGCTCAACACTCACGATTTGCAACTTAGGAAGCAGGTTGTCTAGTGGTTAGCACATCTGCCTCACCGTCAGAGGTTCTGTGGTCGAATATTTATGATGTGGAGTGTGTGAGGTTTCTCCCAAGTACCCCAACTTCCTCCCTCATTCAAAAAACACGAACGTTAGGTTGACTAAAGACTGCATTGTCCTTAAATGTGAATATCAATATCAATGCTTGTAGTTCCACCCAGTTCAAGGGTGACTGTATGAGGATAAGGGTGGATGATGGACTCCTCGTGAATGTGTGTGTATTGTGTGTCCATGTTTACTGTCACACTTTATCTTATTGTGTTATGGTTCAGTACTTTTCACACTTAATGGATCCTATGTTATGCAGATGGTGGAAAAGGGGACGTCGGTGTTGAAGAAACTGGAGATCAACGTGGCAGAGGCTGAGAAAAGAACGGGCAAGAACACGGTCAACATGCAAGAAACCTACACCGTCTACCTTGTTGAAACACGGTGGGGTCTGCTGAAGGGTGGTACACGTGTAGGAATTTTTAACATACAGGCTGGGTTTTTGTTGTTGTTTTTTTTTTTAATGTGAGAGACCCCATGCACAATGAAGAGAAAAATAAGTGATGTGTCTTCTGATTGGGCTGACTTCAGAGAGCACACCACACACATCGACATCCATGACAGTTGCGTCTCCTCCCCCAAACCACATGTCTGTTGGTGTACCAAGACTGACCTGTGAGAGGGAACTTGGTGCCACAGGGCATCTAAACTGCTGGAAAGAACGAAGGGAAAGAAACATTATTTAGAAGAAGAAGCTAGGATACGTTTTTGTATGGTGGCTTATCTGGTAACTAGATTGCAGTTTTACGGTTTTCTCTTTAATATGCAGTACATTACTTGGTGACCGTTTTCTTTTTGTTTCTTGCACCCAACAACTGTGCCACATATTTCAAAACAAAACAAACCTAAAACTATTTAAAACCTAAACTAAAACAAAGCATTTTTGAAAAAATAAAAACTAATAAAAACTATCAAACCTCCTCTAAAAACTGACTTAAAAAAAAAAAGTCAGCGCGAAATAAAAAATATGGAAAAATCCCAAACTTTTTTAAGCCT